CGTTGATATTCAACACCGATTGGCCCACTTTTCTCTATCTTCTATTTCCATCCAGTTTTTCTGGATTCCTGGCCATGTCGGTATTCACGGGAATGAGCTCGCTGACACCGCAGCTAAGTCCGTCTGCTCTGGTGCCATCATGGCCGTGCCTGTCCCATACATGGACTGTGGTCCTGTCTTCAAGGCGCGGCTTCATGCCAGTTGGCAGTCAACTTGGAGTGAGGAACGCCATAATAAGCTTTTCCAGATCAAACCTTCTGTTGGTCTTTGGCCATCTTGCTTCCGTAAGGATCGGAAGGAGGAAGTATTCCTGGCAAGGCTACGCATTGGTCATAGTTTTTTAACCCATCATTTTCTTTTATCGGGCATTGACCCACCGATGTGTAGCCATTGTGACACTCAAGTCACAATAGCCCACATTTTACTGTCATGCCGTCTTACGACCGTGAGCGGTGGCATCATTTTAGACACATTTTATCTAAAAGTTTACCCCTGACGCTGGACAGTGTCATTGGTAATGGTGACACTGTCCGATTAGATTGTATTTTTAATTTTTTACACACTATAGGCCTTTTTAATTATATATAAATCTTTTATCGACATGTATTGGTTTTAACTCACTGTATTTTTACATTTTACTTTATATTCATCGTTTTTACCAGTTGTTTGGTGCAGATAGCCTCGCAGCTTTGCGCCATGAAGCACCAAACAACAACAACTTTTTTCTTTTTTTTTCAAGGTTAGTGATATCCTTTGTCCAGCACTTTTTGATTAGGTTTCACACGTGTCTGTTATTTTCGATGTACCTGTAGTTCTATTTGCAGGTAAATCACTAATTAAGTTAGATATCTTGTTAGCTTAGGCTTAACAAGTATCTGTTGAATTTGGTTTACCTTTGGTTATACTTCCAGGTTAATCGATAGTTAGGTTGACTGTTTCATTTTCTTCAACACATAACATGTATTAAATATGTTTATTTCACTATACATTTTCTTGGCATTAACTTCGTTTAACTAATAATTTATACTTTTTACCCTTAATTTCGTTTGCGTGGGCCCCCTGGGAGCTGGAGTCAACCCTACCTGCTGCCAATATTGGTTGCCTTCCTCCTGTAATGGCTGAACCCATTTCAGATGTCCTAGATCTTGTCAGTTTTTCTCCCCCTTATCATGGATTGCATTCCAGGACTCTAATGCAGAATCTGCTAGGCTTCTCTCAGTTTTTTTTGTTTTAGACACATTTCACAGTATATTCCCCTTCTCCTGACATTCTTTCATGATGATCTTTGTCTGTGATTTTTTTCCTTCCCCTCTGATCCATAGGGTTTGGATCGTGATTCAATTGGCCTTTTATTCCTTGTATCGTTCTTCCTGTCATCAATTTCTGGTGTCACTCCGATCATGTACCTTCCATTTTCCCTGCATCTTAACCCTATCTCTGTTGGAGGTACTTCATCTGTTCAGCACTGGGACTATACCTCATATGTTCATCTCCCATTCTCTGCTTTCTTTTGAGTAGCTGTTTCTTCCTTGTTGGGATACCATCATCCATCATGGAGGCATCCTCCTGATATGTCCTCCACTATGTAACATTGGAGTGAGCCTTCAAAATTGCAGTTCACCTCATCATTTGGGATCCTTCATCCTACCCCTACATGGATGTCAGCTCCCAGTGGCTAGGTTTTGGATTTAGAGCTGAACCAATCAACATAAGTCCTCACACATGTATTACAGATTTCTCTAATCCCTCACTCATTTCTACTCATGTTACTCCATCCATGTTGGGGGTCATGATGGTGGTACTTGCAGATTACTACAGTTCTTCCCCTTTCGCTATCCCTTGATGTTCTTATTATTCTGAGGGTGTTACTGTGTGTGGAGCAGTTCCTGTCATTTTAATGAGATGGTTTTACTTTACACAGACATCTTTTTGATGTCGGGTTCCTGGATTAATTGATCAATTTCTCATGTTGTTATCATGGGTCCTGTTCATGGGTCTTCTACATCTAGGACACATCTTTTTAATTTTACCCACTTTTATATTTTCTGGGACAGAGTTTCATAAATGTTATATTGTTCAGATCACTATCCAACTTTAGTACTCTCCCACTGCTCCTCTGTTTTCTGCCCATATGTGTGACATATTTTTACCATGGGTGAAGAGTATACCTGTTTCAAGACTTGTGCAGTCCCCCACATCAGACCTTAGAATCTGACTGTCTCCTCTTAGAGTGTCCTTGAGATGCTTTCAAAGGATACATCTTTCTTTCCCTCACACTGGTCCCTCCACCTATTCAATGTGGGATTCTAGCTATTTATGTCAGACCTTGGAATCTGACTGTCTCCTCTTATGGAGTGTCCTTCAGATGCTTTCAAATGATACTTCTTTCTTTCCCTCACTCCGGTCCTTCCACCTATTCAATGTGGGGTTTTAGCTATTTATGTGAGTGGAGGTTATCATTTTCCTATACTGAAAATCTATTTCTGATAGATACTTACCTCATCTCACACTTCCCACCCTTCCTCCCCACTGAAAACTGGTGCTTCTATCTTCTGCCAAAATTTGAAGTGATAATTCGGTAGAATTGAATAGAGGGAGTCACACATGTCAGAGAGTATGTTGCACTCTTATTGGTGAAGGGTTGTCACATGATGATTTGCATGCAAGATGCATTGGAATCAGTCAATTCCAGATGAGTGGGAGCTTCAAGGCTTGGGGCATGCACAAACATTTTTGCATACAGAGGGCAACACTGAACAAGAATAGCTATATATGTGAGAAGAGGTAGGTACCTATCGGAAATATATTTTCAGTATAGGAGAATTATAACTTTGCTGAAAAGAGCTATGCAGTCCAGATAGGATTAAGTCTCAAAATCCTTGATTTAATTTGGCTATAAGTCGTTCATAAGAATTTCTCTGTTTGTTAGGATTTAAATTTTAGATAGTTTGCAACATTTTAAACAAGAATTAGTATTCTTAGTCCTATAGTACAAGTTTCCTTATGAAAATTAGGTGTATTGAAACTTCTCAGTAGAACCAAGGGTTAAAATAAATTATAATTACAAAGTTTTGGCAAGTTCTGTTATGTGACATTTATTTTAATACAATAAGCAGTTTGCAAAACCAAATTACCAAAAAGTGGTCTTTAATAATATGATAATTTTACTAACTTCAAGTGAATCTTTTATTATTTTAAAGACATATTATAAGATAAAAACCTAATGCATAGGTTTTAGTCTTTGTATGAATTAGTTTCTTTTATGAACTTGTTAGTTTGCGTGAAGAATACATGTGTCAGTGAACAAATCAACAGATAAAATTAAAATTATTTTGTAAAATCCTCTTATAAAATTTATGGTTATTTTGCAGTTTGTTTTCAAATGAATAATTTGTTCTCATACTGCTTGTATATGTATCTTTGTAAGCAGATTCTGGAATTAATGAAATAGGTTTGGTACCCTCATCAATAAATGTTGAACCAGGTAGGGAGCAAGGAAGTAGTCAACATTCTAATTGTGGTCCATCTCCTTCTCCATCTTCACGGCATCATCATCATTATGGTCAAAATATTTTGGGGATGGTTGGTAGTAGCTCTAGGAGTCACAGTCACCAGCACGGTTTTCATACCTTGAAACAACAACTGAGGTATAACCAACCTACTAGACATGACCTAATGCAGATGACAATGGAGGTATGGTAACTAAGAAGGGCCAAAACTGCATTTTTATGATAAAATGATTAAACTTTAAGGTTGGTCTATGATATAGAGAAATATAAAAAATAAGTTGATGAAACTATGGTAAAACAATTTTTTGTTAGCTAGTTATGCATTATCTGTAATATCTGACCATTAGACCCTCTCAAAACACGTGTACATGTTTTATTGCATACAAAGGACACTGAATCTAAAAGAAAATTATTGTTTATTCTTATGATATGACTTTCATGCAATGATATTCTTATTTATGCATTCAGTGTACTGCCAACTACAGTAATCACAATTAAGTTACAGAGTAATAGTAGCTGGAACTGAAAATGAATTATTTAAAAAATTCAATGAATTTAAAATGTACTTCACCTAATGATACCATGTAAACTTTGTGAAACTTGAGCTTTTTTATACCTTTTTTTCTGTATTTTTCATAAATAAACGTTTTTATATTTCTCTCAAAAAGTTCTCATCATTTTCAGCTCATATTATAGCTGACAAGATTCTTCATATAGGTCATGTTTTGTTTAGTAGATGTTGTTAGTTATATATAAACTATCACAAGATATAATTAGTTCCATGCTGTGGTATTTTATTTTTACACAGTCTTCTTTAATGTTAACCCATTTGATGTTTGTTGGTTTTTTTCAATGTAGTAAAAAAAGCCATATAATGGAAAATGGTAACACCTCTTTCAAAACAGAATTTGCTGCTGCACTCTGTTTCACTGCCATATTGCAAGTGCAAACAGATATCTCTCCTTTGGTATTTGATCTTTTTTAAAGCTATCTTGCTCTCCATGGACAAATGGGTTGATAAGGCAACTTATAAACCTTACTCTCTACCTACCAGTGTCACCAGTGAGATTGGGACCAGTCACATCAGAACCAATGTGTAAAACCATTATTTAGTCTTGCCCTTGCTCCTGGAATTCAATCCATCTTGTGTGTACTTGCCCCTTCAATCCAGGGCAGAATCTGTAGATGGTGATATACCTCCCATTGATAAAAATATAAAAGTAGTTGAAAAGAAAAAGAAAGCTCCCCCTACTTTGATCTGAACAGTCTTGATGAAAATGATGGCCATGCTGATACAGTGGAAGTATTCAAATTTTCATGCTAATTTTGATGACACCAAGGCAGGCATTGATTAATTCTTACCATGCCATATGCATTTCCTTACAGGAAACATTTCTGGAAACTGCTGATACAATCATCATTTGGCAGTTGTTGTTTTTTTTTTACTCAGAAAGGACAGGTTTTGTGATGGCCAGAATCATGGTTGTTCAGCAAATTCTTCATGACTGTACCACTTACTGTGTCTCTAGAGACCATTGTCATCCACATTAACATTAGTTTTACCATTACACTGTTCTCTACTTGTTGCCAAAAGAGGTAATCACTCTTGAAGACCTTTATGATCTTACTCAGCAGTTACTGTTTCCCTTCATCATCCAGAGAGACTTAAATGGACACAATATTTTCTGGGGCAGTGGAGGTATTGATGGGAAAAAGTTGATCTATGGAGCATAACACTAGGGAGGGTATATCTATTTCCGTGACCCAGTTCAGACTTTTAATGCTGTTTATTTGTCCATTTTCTTCTTCTCCCATTTACTCCTTTTTATTATCATAAGCAAATAGATGCTTATTATTGGGATTATTTCCAGCTTTCTAAATCTAAAATGAGTTGAGCTACTCTACACAGTGAAGATTCAATGCACTCTGCCTATTTTATGTCAAACTTAATCAGGCCTCCATTTAATTACAGTCCTAATGCTAACTTGACACCAGCATTTATAGTGCCCAAGGTAGTGGTAGTGAAGTAATATTCACTTGACCTAATACTCTTAAATCCCACATTTTATCAAGGCTACAGCTCTTTTCTGGGAATCCCATCTGTGGTCAGTGAATGATGAAGCTTCATGTAATGGAAAAAAACAACATGTTTATTCTCATAAACATAATCAAAACATATTTCATACAGAAAAACCCTTTATAATGAGGTTAGAGCTGTGTTTTTTGGAATTCTATCCAAGGCCAGTTAACCATCTGTGTACACTTGCATTGGGTACTGGACAATGGGATTAGTCCACCCATGATTATATTTCTGTATATGAGCTCAGTCATTTTTACTGACTTTGTAACCATAAAACTATACATACTAGAACTCTGAATGTACTGTGTGTATCTATACTAAATTTTGCAAGATTTTAGTAAACATTTAGATTCTGTTATAAACAAAATTTCCGAATTGTTTTTTTTTACCCTTGATTGTGCCTGCTTTAAACACGTACAAAATGTTTGCGAGTCGTACACTGTATACAGCACACTCACCTTCAACTGCAGTCAATAGATTAATAAATTACTTTTGCTAAATATTTATGAGTTTATGAAGCCTTTACTGAGTCAGTTTGAGTGAAAGTTGATTTTCATGTTAAGAATAAAGATACTTATTCTCATGTTACAGTTTTCATACTTCATTTGCATAACTTATAGAATCTCCTAAATGAATATTAAAAATTTTTTTGGTGAAACTTTATACTTGATAAATTATAATTTCTAACCTCACACCAACTGTAGCAAAATCAGAAATGCACAGTAAAATGAAAAGTGGTAAAATATAAAATTAATAGTAATTTTTTTCTAGAATGACTACAGTTTGTAACAGACAAATACAATTATTTATTTTTCACATCTGCTCTTTTAATTTTGTGGCTTTATTGCTGTACTTTTGGATCCTACTGCATGTGAAAAGCAATAAATCACAGCAGAAGTTCATTTACATGTTTCAGGTTGTAATCACACTCACACCATAAGCTCACCTTATCATCAGCTGAGCTTGTGAAATTTTAAATATTATTTATGTCTTGTCACCTAACAAGATATTTTTTCTCTAATATTTTTATTTCAGTTACTTTTGTTAAAAACTTAAATCATAATTTAAAAAATATACATAAAAACCATGTTTATTTCTCAAAAAATTGATTTGAGCAAATATTATTAGTAAACCTTGTTGAGTGTATGATACTTAGGTGTCCAAAAAATAATTCATTTAGATTTCAAGTATACATTTTATAACACAAATATATATATATATATATGTGTGTGTCACTAAAATAGAATGTCCCAATGATTAATCTAGCATTCACAGAAATCTATAAACAGGTATAAAAAAAATTGTTAGTTGCTCGGAGTTGAATAGTGATCATAGAGCTCTCTACATATGCTTACCTAAAAGCAATAAGCATTATGTAGAGGAGAATCTGTTCTTTCTCTTGGATTTAAACATGTTCATTTGCCATGTAGAGATACATGTATATGTAATTATCTTGAAAGGCAGGACAGATGGGAGGGGCTTCTCATGCGGGTTTGGTACATTTACATATCTCAGCAAATCAAAAATGTAGAAGGCTCAGATTTTATGTTCTTGTTTGTAATTATACATAGCTTTTGTTTGTAGTTGGCTCAACTCTAAAAGCTGTATTATTGAAAACATGAAATCTAAAGGAGAGAATACAGACGTGTTACATGACACAGAGAAGTGAAGATTGAAAATATTCCTTTTGAATTTAAGAAACTAAAATTAAAAAATATAAAAATTTCGTTTATAAGCTATGTTTTTATTCCAAGTTTATTCACATAAATTGGTAACAAAGCTGTTTAATTAAATTTTGAGTGTAACTGTGTAAAAAGCCATGACATACACAGTTTGAGCCAGCCATATGCATAGGATTGATGACACAATTGTATGTGACTGAAAACTATCAATGTCTTTATTCCACATGAACAACTATCATCCTATTCATAGACATAATTAACTAGTTCAATCTGATGTTACTACGAGTGACACACAATCTGAAACTACCACTAATGTTACCAGAAAGCTAACTTTTATAAATTTTTCTCACTTAATACACAACTAATTTCAGAAGTAATATGGATTAAATTCATTATCAGCATATCTTCCACCACCAATTCCAAGGTCATCTGGGACAATATTCAAAAAGTGAATAGGAAACATATGTCCCCTTTGGATCATACGTCGCAATGGCCAAGAAGCAGCTGATTTTCAAGAAATTGCTAACACCCTTCTAGATTGCTTTTCCTACCACTCAAGCATTTCTACCTGTTTTCATGACCGTCCCACCTTAATTTTTTCCCGATTGTCTTTTTGAATTTAACTGACCATTCAATCTGGTAAAACTTAAACTTGCTTTACATTGGTTTGGCAATACCTCAGTCAGAGTGAATCATATGTTACAAGATGCTGCAACATCTATTTGTTGTTTTTCTTGATCTTCTGTTTCTTTTTAACCTGATTAGTTAGGAGGAGGAGTTTCCAAATATATTTCACTGAGTTATTGTCATACTGTTGCTTTTTCTAGTTGCCTGTATATGGTTTTGGAGAGCTTATTTGGTTTCTGAAATCAAACATTTCCTTTTCAAAACCCAGTGTGGTTTCCATTGATAGTAATATTGTGGACCACTAGAAACATCAATCAGGGAAGCCTTTCTCAAGAACAAGCATCTTGTTTCTATATTTATGTTTTATCTTGAAAATTGTTGTGACACTACTTGGAGATTTTATACATTTTGGGACCATCATTCTTATGGGTTATGTAATCATTTTACCATTTTTTATCACAGCATTTTGTCATAGAGGTCATTCGGGATCAGTATAGGTTCAATACTTTACATAGAAATTCAAGAGTACCTCGTGGATGTGTCTTGAGTTTTAAATTTTTTTGTGTTGAAATCGTTTTCATAATGGCCTTTATGTCAGTGGCTTTCAGATTTCCTTTCAGTCATTGAATGGCAGTTCTCAACTGTCCTCGAAAATGTTTTGTGTAGACTACTGCAAATGGGTTTAGATTTTTCTCATTCAAAACTGTTTGTATGCATTTTTACCATTTTTTGGTGTTCTCAGGGCTTCTATTTGTCAATAAACTGAGTTTCATTCCTTATATCAACAACTTAAATACAAATGACACTAAACATCTTCTGCATCCTCACTTCCATCTCTCGAAAAGCAAATTTATGTCTTGTACTCTAAATCTATTGTGCCCTTATTCATTCTAAGCTGGGCAATGGGTTTCTGGTCTCTGCCTTAGCCAGACTATACATTAATGATGTTGGACCTTGTGCATCAACAGTTTTTTCACTTGTGATCATGTCCTATGAACATCCTCTTTCCCTCCAATGTTTGCAACTTTCTTTGCAACACATTGTAAAGCTCTGATCACATCTAGGGAAAGTACATTAGATAAAATTGCTGAATGTCACAATAGCCCATTCCACCATGGCTTACTACCACCACTCACTGTAATCTGTCATTGAGTCATCTGAAGAAGTCAGATGCTTCTGACTGAGGTATTAGCTTCTCTTTTATAAACACCTCTTGATTTATCTGTCTGTACCAGTTTTTATGGATGGCTTGATTAGATGTCTCTGTTAGTGTTACCAAGGTTTGTGCAAATACTTTTGTTTTTAATTGATTCCTCTCTATCAATTGTTCTGACTCGTATAGATGCTAAGTAGCTTGTATATTAATTGTGTTATCTATACTAACTCTCTTAGTTCTTTTCAAGTCTCTGGATTTGTCTAACATCTTTTCTCACCCTGTTTTCTTGGATATTTAAAAACAGCTGAGCAATTTTTCCCTGTCATCTTTAATTATCCAGTTTTTTGTGGATTCCAAGGGAATGACTACCTGACACTGTAGCCAAATCAGCTTTCACTTTAAACTTATACATGTTATATATGGTATTTTTATTTTATGTACCTTCTTTTAATTGACTATTGTTTAAATAAAAATTAAAAATTGTTTGGCACAAATAGCCTTGATAGTTTGTGCCATAAAGCCCTAAAAAACTACCAAATTATGAATATAAAAAAAGTACGATTATTTAAAATTTTTCGCTTTCAGTTGTCAAGAATCTTGTTTATTAAAAACACACTTTTTTCATAGTAAAATTTTTCATTTTTTTTTCCATACCTGAATCTGTGTACTACGATTGTGTTTTATATTCTTAGGGACTGACAAAAGGAACAAGAGGACTTTCTTTAAGTAACTACTCACAGAAACCTGAACTTGATGTTTACTCTCAAAAAGATCCATACCTGATGTCTCATCAGACTTCTGGGAATCAGATAGGAATGTTGTGTCAGGTGTGCTATACTGATCACATACATACCAGTTATTTAAGTTAGTTTTACCACAAAAAAATCAATATCATATTCAGACACTGTGAAAGTGTACCAATTTGATTTTGAGTCTTTCTTTGTAATGTTTCTTCAGTAGTCAGGTTAAATGTTTTTTTCAACCAGACAAGCTATAAAGAATGAATGAACATCACTTGAAGAATGTTAATGCAATTTTTTTTTTTTAAATTCAAAACAAAGGCATTTAAAAGTAAATTTGAAGTTTTAACTCCAGAAACTATTATGGAATTATCAGGAGGTAAACACTTTCCAGTGACTCTTTAACATTTATGTTATGAATATTATGTTATTCATGAATTATTTGAGGCACTTAATTTCTTTCATTTTGTAAGGATTCATATGTAAAAAACTGACCAATCAGAAATTTGTTCATTATCTTGGAAATTACTGTATTTGACCTATTTAACTTCCACAGCAACATGCATGAAGAAAATTCATTAATTAATTAATGAGTGTATTTCACTTTCTTATATTTTTCAAGAACAGTTTATAATACCTAGCAACATAAATCATTTGATTAAGACTACTTTTTTGTGTTTTTTTCTGTATTAACATATGTAACTCAAAATATTAAATTTTTTCCCCCTAATCAATTTCGAGAACAGTCTTAATTATTTGGTATCAACATTTTTTGTAGCTAGGTCTGTCACATTATTTATACCTGAAAATTGTAAAATACAAAATAATGTGTTCTAAATATTTCTCTTACAGAACTCTGTAGGTTTACAAAATAGCAGAATACCAGCTGACCACTCATGTAGTGCCCCTGCATCACCTATAGCTCACAGTTTTCCCACTGTTGAATATTCTGAACTTGGGTATAATCTTTCCTTGAGTAAAAACCCATTTACTGACTCAGACTACCACTTCCAGCAGCATCATCAACAGACCAGATCTCCTCAGCAGCAGCTGGAGCAAATTGATATGTTTAATAAGACATCTGACCAGGGGAAACACCTGCCTATGGTATGTTTGTGTTGATGGATTAAATTAAAGATTCATTTCAAGGGTGCATCAAAGGTTTAACAATTTAAAGTTTGCTTCATTTGAATTTTTGCTTCTAAACATTTACAAATACCACTAATGGTTTTAAATTTAAACATGCTTTCATACTAGGGATGAGCTGAAGAGAAAGGAAGGAGGATTGTGGTAATTATAGCTATCATTACTGTTTGCTTTTCTATAATATTCAAAATGTTTGTAACATACAATATTTACATACTTTTGTTGTCTTGAGGTTGCAAAATTTCTCAAGAGGACACCAATCTTGCATTATCTCTGTTTATTATCGTATTATTTGAGCAGAAATCAGTGGTCATTTTGTAGTTTTGTGTATTACTGAGTAAAGTTAGAAAAGCTTCAGTTATTTGGTCTCTGCTGGATATGTGTGTGTGTGTGCATGTGTTTTGAATCAGTCTTGTCCTGGTTGTCACACAATTTGTCATTTAAAGCTCCATTCATCTACTGTGGATAAAATAGTTATTACAAATATTCAGCATTATTTCAAGTTCAAACGTGTTGGTGGGTACAACATTTTTTTTCTTACTGCACCAATTAATCTGTCTTTTTTATTTTACATTTTAAAATGAATCTCCAACATGCATAAATTTCCATGCTGAAACAATATGGTCTTTATTCTTTAAGCATCAGTGACTCACTTCCAGCCAGATCTTAGCACTTGTTTGGTTATTGCATTTGTGATTTATCTCCATATAACTCTTTACTTAAGAATACCACAGATAACCTTGAATATTTAAAGCTGTAAACATTTCCTATTCTCTGAGCTAGCAAATGTGGTATTTAAATTTTGTCATACACTTTGATTTATTTTTCTTATTTGTTCATACGTGTACTTGTATTCATTTTTGGCTTTCTTTTCAATGTTTTTTATTCTGTAACTTTGTGATTTGGTTATGCCACAAAATCATACTATTGTATTCTCAACTGAATAACTCTTCATGACTTAACACTGTAGTTTTAATAAGTTATTTTTAGATTTCAAGACATTTTGAGAATTGTTATTGGCTATTAATTTTTATGCACTGTTATAATCACTGTTATATGTAAGTTCTTTATGTAATTTCTCTTGGCAGTTTTATAGAAAGAGTTTGAGATGATCTTGAAGAATATTTAAAAACAGAATATAAAAATTGGTCCTGCAAGTTTGAACAGTTTTAGCTAATGTAAACTTAGACTGAATACTAATCTATTTCTAAATTGGTGTTATTGATTTTGGTAGTTTGCTGACAGTACTTCACCTGGGTTTGGCACAAATCAGATTTCACATGCTACTTCAGTGGCTGGTTATGTGGATACACCTGTTGAATCAGGTGATAATAGTGCAGAGGATATGGAAGGAACTACATTCCCCTTCCCTGATTTTTTTACTCAAGACCTGATCTGTAATCCAAACAGTCTGGACATGGCCTTAGAGTTTTACGATATGGATTCCTCATGCCCAGGTTCTGAGCTACAGTCTCCATCTTTCTTATCCACTTCAAATGCTGTTTCATCCAATTTTAATACCACACATACTCCCACAAGTATTCCTGATATTGTACTCACAGGTATGTTCAAAAGTATATAATTTATTTAAAATCATATCCTGTTGTTACTTTCTTGTATTTATGTTGCATAGACAACATTGCTTAGACTGTTTATTTATAAGCATTTATTAGTTTCAGTAATATAGGTAATTTATTCATTGTTCCATATATGTAGGACTTGGTATGACTAAGTAATTAATGCACCCAGACCATAAATCTAAGTATTCATAGTTCATGTCCCATTACTGTGAAAACATACTCCACACTTTGGGGTTGTAGGTGCACCATAAGAGTAACAATCAAATCCCATTGTTTGGTTAAACAAAACTTGCCAATGCATGCTGTTGACTAACTGCCTTCCTTCTAATCTATCAATTCAAATTTAGGGATGGCTGTGTACAGTTTGCCCAGGATGAATCAAAGTGAAAGTATGAGAAGCGTAGGGTTAGAAATGTGAACCCCATTGTATTGTTATTGAAATGAGCAAATGATAATAATCAAATTAATGTATTAACTACAGCTGGTAATCATGATGTCATTACTGATATGAGTAAATTGTAACTTATTAGTCTCAACTGAAAGTAATTAACACAAAATTGTAGTTGAAAGTCAGAGGTGTACAATGGAAAAGGATATAACATCTTATTAAGTAATTGCAGCTTTCAACAACGTGTTGTCATGCAGGTTATCTAAATATAATGATACTGTGGTTCACTTGCACTAAAGTCTTGGTTGACATCATTTTCTTTTGTATGTAAACAGAATACATCTCAAATCACCTTCATGGGCAAATTTTAAATTTTTGATCACATGGCCATGATATACTATAATGATTTATTTAAAGTTCAGGTGAAGGATATTTTTCTACTATTGTATGTAGTTTGTTTTTCTTAATTAAAACAAGAAAGTCATATATGTGAATTGTATTCCCCTCATGTAGTGAAGCACGTGAATTCAGCACATTTTGTTGTTATATATGTAGCTCCTAGGGGTGAGGAATCATTGATGAAACAGGACTTTGTTAATGATCCAAGTTCTGCATTAGCCATGTCTGGCTGCTTTGACAATGACTTTTTACCAGCTGAGGAAGCATTAAGAGCTGGACTGGATCCAATTGACTTTGATGGACTTCAGATTCTCACAGATCCAGATATTTCTGTTATTACTGATCCTGCTATGGAAGAAACATTTCGTTTAGATTTTTCATAGCGCACTGATGCCACCAAATCTTTTGTTTTTAAAAAGTTTGTATTTTAAAGTAGTGGTAATATTGTGAAACTGGCTTTATATATGCACACAGAGAAAGAAAGGAAGCAGTTGAGTGAGTAACATATTCAATACAAAGATATAGGGAGAGAAGTTCAAAAATTTACACAATTTGACTAATGGAAACGACATTTAAGCCAGAATAACTGTTAAATAAATTTGTTTCAATTAACATGGAATCTTAAACCAATACTAAGCTAATCTAAAAAAAAGATCTGAGATCTCAGCAATGTATTTATGTAATTCACACAATGTTTACATATAAAATTATATTTTCTAAATCTTAAACAGAGATGAATGTATTAATAAATACATTTTTTCTCATTTTTAGGGCAATTGATGTATTCTTTTCATAAATACACTTCAATACACTAATTTTATTAATTTTCATATAACTTAAATTACTCCTAAGCTTGAAAATTTAGAGTTGTATGAACAACTTTATTGGGTAGCTGGGAAGAAGGACAATGTTTTGGGTAACTTGCATGCTTCTTCATCATATAAACGAGCACACAGTGACCTAAAATATTGTCAGTCCTCCTGACTACTCTAAAACAAAGTTCTGTATTTCAGTAGAAAATATTGTAGGAAACTTCATTTAAAAAAAACTTAATATTTGTATAATTTCCCTAAAATCATGGAAAGTATTCTGTTTTTTAATGAAATTTCTTAAGATATAGAATTTTGTCAAAATTTCCTAAACATATATGCTGCCCAAATTTTTTTATCTTAAGTTTATGGACTTGTGTTACAGTATATACAATAAGTGGACTACACTTCTTAAGTATTACTCTAATTTGTACTTGTCAAATATGTCTCTGAAGTGACATTTTAGTGCTTTGAGAAGTTAGTTTCTCATTAATCATATTTAAAAGAGAAGCACCAACAGTAATATGTAAAAACTGAGTCAAAGTTGAAGAAAATTCAAATGAAGCTTAGTTTTAATTTATGATACTATACATTTTAGTCAATAAATTTATGAACAAATTTTCATATTTTTCATAACTTGCAAAGATACATTATATTTTTCATGAATCCTTCAAAAAAATCAATTGCACATTAATCTTTGGAAGAGTAATGAATAATATTGCATTTAAAATTATTATTCTTTACTATTTATGACATTGGAAGTCACTGGAAATTTGTAGATGTACATGGATTTACACTGTATGCTGTATCATTGGCATCAATTATTTTTTTATGTCTAAAGTTAGTGCAGAAATATTTTAATATTTTTGAAATACATGATGCTTGCTCTGTTGTGTTTGGAATTTTTATCAGTATTGTTTTATTTTCAAGTTCGTGCAATATACATAGCTATAATATTAACACTTTTTAGTGAATTTTATGTGTGTTTTTAACATTATTTACACAAAGAAACTTACACACTTATTTTCTTTATAAAAACATCTTATTTCATGGATTTGGATTGTTGTTATTGTTAGGTTTTCATCTCAACTTGATTCTAGTCTACTTGAAAGTTTACTGAAATATGTTACCAGTAGTTTTAAATGCAGTTATATTGATACATATTTTTGTTTTCCAGAGTATGTTATTAAAACACTGTAGTATAGTTTATATTTGAGAATTTTGGGCTGTGCAATGTTATTGTTATTAAACAATAGATAAGCTTTTTTTATTTGAATGTTGTTGTATATATATATATATATATATACATATATATATATTTAAAAGAGAAAGAAATGTAAATATATCAGAAAAGCATGAGAAAACAATATTTTAAATCTTCAACTCCAAATGAGGGTATAAAAAGATTTATTTGGAACCTCCATGTGAGCTATGTGATAAAAAAAATTATCAAAAGTTATTGTTTCAATGTTTCTAAAATTTCTTTCATATCCTGCTGAAATAATGTTTTACAATATTTTTGGTTTTTGTTTATGCTAAATTTGAAAGTCTGAGGTATGCATTTTTTTAATAAAATATCACATTAGCATTTTAAGTTCTGCATATGTATGCATTATTTCAACAATAAAGTTGTGGCACAGTATATATAGACTTGTGTTGCATTGTATTTGAAGAGCTGGGTGAGTTTTAAATTGCATATAACTTAGAAAAATGTATCCATTGTTCTTTCATTCATGCAAGAAGAGATCTTGGACAAAGATTCTGATATCTGGATTCAAGAAAAGCATTTGTTGTTTTGTAAATGGGAACACTTGAAAGTGTATCTTAAATATAATTATGTTTAAGATTAGAGTACTACATAAGAATATAATTTATATTTATAGTTGTTCCTTAAAGTAGTTCTTTCTATAACTGTTAGTGAGAGTGAGGGAAGAAAATGTTTGAAGAACTAAGTTTACCAAGCAAGAGAAAATATGTTGAATATTTCTTCAATTCTATTGGATGGAAAAGAATGAAGCATTTAAGTAAGCAATACATAGACAAACAGAATTGTCCAGAAGAATTATTCAAATGCAACTGTTTCTACAGTTGAAGAAAAAAAAGTGGCACACAGAAATCAGTTAGATTCATATCCTTGTTTCAGGCTGGACTTCCAGATTTTTTATCTACATCAGTCACTGGCATCCAAGTACAATCACAAAATTCTCTTGAATAGTTCGATGAATTCAGCATTAGATTTTTGATAAAGAGCCATGGCAATCATCATGAAAAGATAAAGTTCATCAGGTATTTATGCTATTAAGGACAACACTTTAACATTTTAATTTTAAATTTTGAAGAAAAAGCTGAGCTTGTCCAATATTTGAAACTTCAGTGAACCAATTAATTGAAATATCTCTCAGACTACTTATGAAAGACTAAAGGCTACTTGCTTGACCAGATTTTGAAGTCCTTCATATTACTGACTTTACCATTTAAGTGAAAACTTAGTTTACTAATAATTAATTTCAGATTTCTTAGTTTATCAAAGAACTCTGTTATCATACTTTAATTAAAAAGATTGTTTTTACATTGTTAGCTTAGTATATGGACTTAAGACTAACCTAAATCTCCTAAGCTGTCCAAACCTCATGAGATAATACTGAGTTTGCAATACCTGGGAATGAGTAGCTTTCTTCTTGACATTTCATTACAATCAGTATAAAGTTTAGAATTGTATATTTCTATTTGTTATCTGCAAAGATATTTGTAACAAATGGATTGTTTTATTATCTTGCTTGAGGATTTTTATCTAATACATTAAAAATAAAGTGGCTCAGTGGTAAGTCTGCAAGCTTCAATACTAAAAATCGGTTTGTAATACCTGTGGTTGGAAGAGCACAGGTATTCCATTGTATAGCTTTGTGCTTAACAACAATAAAAAATATTAATAATAATGTAACAATCATGTGGACTTGAAATTAATAATACCCTCACAAGTCATGTGATTTATCAGAGTATTTTATAAAAAAAAAATATTTCTTACACAAGAAAAAAATTTCTTAATGTAGAATGTAAATTTTCTTTTTTTTTTTTTTTT